TTGGAAATCATCGTTTTCTTTTTTTTTTATTATTTGACAGGTAGAGTTATAGACAGTGAGACAGACAGACAGAGAGAAAGGTATTCCTTCCGCTGGCTCACTCCCCAAATGGCCGCTATGGCCGGAGCTACGCTGATCCAAAGCCAGGAGCCAGGTGCTTCCTCCCGGTCTTCCATCGTATTTTTGAAGTGAATCCATAGAAGTAAGTATGTTCTCTAGGAGGAGTGAGAGAAGGTACAGAGACAGGCGAGTTAGTAGAAGCATGTGATGGGGAAACCCTATAAAGATATTGAGAAGGAGCAAGTGGATAAACAGGCAGCAAACAGGGCTTCTTCTTCTGCTAGGACAGCCCTAAAACTCTCCCACAGGCTGGGTGACTTAACAGAAATTCATTTCCTCACAGCTCTGGAGATTAGAAGTCCAAAATCAAAGTGTCAGAAATATTGGTTTCTCTTGCAGAAGACACCTCCTCCCACTGTCTTCACGTGGCCGGCAAAGCCAGGAGCCAGGAGCTTCATCCTGGTCTCCCACATGGGTGTAGGGACCTAAGCAATTGGGCCATCTTCTGCTGGTCTCTCAGGCTCACTGGCATGGAGCTGGATTGGAAGTGGAGCAGTCAAGACTTGAACTGGTGCACACATGGGATGCCAGCATTGCAGGCAGTGGGTTAACGTGTTATGCTACAACGCTAGCCCCACTCTCTTATGATCCCAGTTAACCTCCCTTGGTTAACAAAACTCTCAGGGAGGTGATGGATGGCCACTGACTTCCTCCTGCTGAATCTGTCTCGTGGCAGATGGGGCAGTTCAGAGAAACCCGTGTTTGCATTTGCTGCTGTTCCCCACAGGTCTTCTGCCCAGGGCCATCAGTACCCAAGTGGCATAATTTGGGGTGGTATTTCCTGAACACTCACACCAGTCAGGGGTTTGGGATCAACCTCCTGATCAATCTAATCCTGAATGCAGATCCGAAGCTAAACAAGCCTGAATTCAAACCTGGGCTCTGTCTCCGACTAGCTATGTGACCTTTGCCACATACTTAATCTTTCTAATCCTCAAATTCTTCATCTGTAAAGAGAAGATTAGCACAGCGCTGCAAGGACATGCTCCAAAATGTCAACAAAGCTTATCTTTGGGTAATAGGGTCAAGAATCCTTTTTAATTTCTGCCTTTGGCTTATCTATACTTCATATTTTTTCTACTTGCAATATATATATTGATTTTTATATGAATATTTATACTTCCTTTGTGATTAAAAAGTTATTTCTTTCAAAAAGAAACATTACCACTTTCTGTAAACAGATGGCCTAATTGGACATTCTGTTAATATCTGTGAAACACCGCAAACAAGGGAATGGATTAGCAAAATGGATAGTCTTATTTTTCCCACTCATAAAGACAAGAAACACATATGGAGTATTTGTAATCCATAGAGTAAGGTTCTAAGTTGCAAAGAAAATTTGCTATTCTTTCAAGGACTTTATAATTGATAAGGTGGAATTCTTAAACTATAAATGGATGACCATAATGCATTGTATGTCAGAATGGGACAAACCACCAACTTCATCCCCACCCAAAAATAGATTCAATAACTTCATACACCCCAGGTCCTCTGTCTGGGAAAGGAGTGGTCCTGTTAGGCTCCGGAAATCTCAAAATGCTTCCCGGAAAAGCCGGCATCATGGATAAACCATAAAGGAAGCTTGACCTTCACTGATTAACTGTGGTCTCAGTGGTCTTTGGTTTGCTTCACACAAAAGGACAATGGGCCAAGAGATAAGAGCTGAGAAAGCTGAATGACTGATTTACACAGAGAGGAACCTCCATGTCAACTGCTTTAGCTGCCAGTTACTAACCTCAACAGCTGCACAAAGTTCAGGGTGGTGGAAGTTCTTCCTGCATTACAACTGAGAAATGCAGAGCTTAAATCACCCACACGTGAATTCCATTCAGTTGTTTGTATGTGTGTAGCCTATAAAACTGAAAACATTAAATTGTCAAGTTGTTTGGCTCCATATGACAGTCCTTGGTGTGTGTGTGTTTGTGTTGTTGTCATTGTCGCTATTTGCAAATGGCCCACTTTTTGCATGTGTTTTAACTTCCTATGTGAATACCCACAAAATTATAGTGGTAATGTATTTTGCTTCCATTTCATAGAAAACTGAAGATTAAATTAGAAATGCCAAGGCACATGAAATTAAAGTGAACATGAGTGATGTAGGATGAGAAAGACCACCTTAAACTTCCCATCATGGAGTCAAGTACCTGGGACCCGGCCTCCGATCATATAACACATCTGTTTGTGATACCAACAGAAAAGAAAGCCTTGGGAATCCATTGGGCATTTGTTTGCTTCAGGTGTTTTGGTGAGTAGAGAAGGACATTTATGGTGTCCAGAGGAACTTGGGCAAATCTAGGAAAAGAAAAAAAGCCCACACACTTCTCCATTCTTAAGAAAATGAGGTATTGTTGACATCACCCTCTGCTGAAATCTCGTGTTTATATTTCAAATTATTAGGTAACAGAATGCCTCCTCCAGAGCTGTAAAGCAACTAGGACAACTGAGTACTAGTGTCTTTTGCCTCTTCATTATCTTAGCCATCCAATGATTCCACAAATATTCATTAAACACCTGTTCTGTGTTAGGTGCTGGGCTACAATAGTAAGTTAAAGGAAATTTACAATGCCTGCCCTCAGGAAATTTGAAGCTGAGCGGGTGGATAGGAACAGAAATGAAAGAAAGACACAAATAATTAGAGTTGCAGTGAGTTCTACCAAAAGAAGGGCCTGTGGTGCCAAGAGAACTTAGAATAAAGGATGTACTTATGAAAGTCGGGGGAAGACCATCTATCAAGGAAGTCATGATTCAATCAGGGAAGAGCTGCAACGGGCTGGGTGAGAGGAGAGAAGAGGAAATCCACCCTGGGCATGAGGACAAGGAGGCGTGTTCATGGAATGCAGAGGACTCTGCCTGCAAGGAGGAAAATCCACAGGAAAGGGTAGAGGAGAGGTAGGGGCTTCAAGTGCTGCTGGAGGATCCGGTTTCTAGCTTCTCTCTGTCTCATAAGCAGTGGGCAGCCATTCAGTGATACTGATGAGAGGGCTGTTATAGATGGGTTTGCTGGGCAGCCATTCAATGATACTAACGAGAGGGCTGTTATAGATGGGTTTGCAGATTGAGAAAACTGACTCTGTTTCAGGTTTGAGAAACTCAATGAAAGGACCCCTGATGCAGGAAGAGCAGGTGGAAGACTCCTGCCCAGGGGGTGGCAGTGGCTCATTCTGGGTGGCTGAGGAGGCCGTGGGGAGAAGATTTCTCCCTCAGTCGTTCTCCAGTGCTGCGGTGGCTCCAGCTTTGGCAAGATTTCTGATGGCCAAAAAGATGCTCAGCCCTCCTGATGGTGCTGCACTCCCTCTGTCCTGAACAGGAGACTTTGGGACCTGATGTGTTCCTAGGGCACAGGCAGAGACAGCGTTGCTGCTGGAAGAATCAAAGCTTCAGGTTCCAGCCCCAAGCAGACTGACAGGGTCGAGTTTGGAGCTAGGTGTGTGTTGGGGTGGGGGGGAGTGGGGGTGCATTTGCCTTTCTCCTGGCGAAACTGGCACCTGCTTCTGCAAACTATCTCGCCCTCAGGTAAAGCAACTCCTTGTAGGAAGTGCTGGCAGAGTTGACCAGATGGCTGCACACATTATGTCTTTGAGACCTGGGGCTGGGCTGATCCCATGACCCATGATACAATCAACACACAACTGAAAGAGAAGGGGGCTTCTAAGAGCATTTAACTACCAAACATGTAAATCCAGTGCCTTGGACAAACCTGGGTGCCCTAGCAAGCAGAGAAATCTGAACGTTGACACGGTCCTGTTTGGCACTCTTAGGCATTCTACACACCCAAGGCCAAGTATTCTCTTCTGTCAGCTCCGTTCCTGGAGCGCAAAGGGAACCATTCAGGTGACTCCCAAGCCACTTTTATTTTACATTTTCTGCCAAACTTAAAAATAACGTTCTCCGCCATTGTCGCTCTGTGATGAGTGATCATTCACAATTATCCACCACCCACCTGCAGAGAGAGATGGCTCAAAATGAGGGGCAGTACAGGGGTGGAAAAGCAGAATTTCCTTCTGAATCGGGATCCACACCTTAGCAAGCCCCCCGGGTGCTCACCAAGCACATTCAAGCCTGAATGTCATCTACTGCGACACACATCGCACAGGGTGATGGCACAGGCACGCTGGTACTCACAGCGAACACAAAAGTTTCCTGGAACAATACTAATGAGGGGGGAAAAGCGCTCAGAATTCACTAACTGGCTTTCAGGACTGCTTGGAGTCTCCACTTGCAATTAGAAAGAGTGGCTCTCAAAAACCCAGGAACAAGCCAAATAACGCGGTGGGGTGGTCGGGGTGGGGCTGGGGGCGCTTGGTGGTGGGCTGAGGAAGGTGTAGACACCTGGCATGCACAGACTTTGTGAAGCCCGTGTCCTGGCTCGCTCCGGGGAAGAGCCCGGGAGCCAGGAACTCCTGGGCGGCGTGGGAGGGCTGCGAGGGGCAGCGCACACCCGGCCAAAGTCCGCGCAGGAGCTGGTCCGGGGGCCCTGATTGGCAGGCCCTGAGCGAGCGAGGACTGGAAGCAGGGAGAGAGCGGAGGCTCTGGGCGGCGAGAGGTCCTGCCCAGCTGTTGCGAGGAGTTTCCTGTTTCCCCCGCAGCGCCGGGTGAAGTTGAGTGAGTCACTCGCGCGCACGGACAGACTACACCCCGCGCGCGCACCCGCTCGGGCCGGGAGCCGGCCTCCTGCGCAGCTCCCCTCGGCCGCCGGGGGCCTCCGCCGGCTGCAGGCCCCCTCCTCCCGGCCGGCCGGCGCCACATCTGGCCCGCACATCTGCCGGGGCCCGCGCGGCTCGGGGGTCTCGAGAGGGCGCGGGGTGGGGGTGGGGGGTGGTCCGGGGAGGCGCCGTCCGCTGCGCTCTGGGCTCGGTCTATGACGAGCGGCGGGGTCTGCCATGGGTCGGGGGCTGCTCCGGGGCCTGTGGCCGCTGCACCTCGTCCTGTGGACGCGCATCGCCAGCACGATCCCGCCGCACGTTCAGAAGTCGGGTGAGTAGCGGCCAGCGCCGCGCCGAGGGCGCCGGGGGCCCCTGCGCTGCGCTTGACAGTCGGCCGCGGGCACTGCGCGCTGGGGCGGAAACGGGGAAAGTGGCCCGCGCGGCACCCACGCAGCCCCAGCGAGGGGAAAGTTGGTTCGCAAGGGGGCGCGGGGCCCGCGGGGGGGGCCCCTTTGTGCGAGCCGGGGAGGCGCTGTGCCGGCCGCGGCCCCGCTGAGCCCCCAGTCCCGGAAAGGGAAGTTTGCGAAGTTGGTGATCCAGAGGCGGCCGGGCAGAGGCCGCGCACCTGGGCCCTGGGCGATGCTGCGGGCCCCTCGAGGCTGCCCGAGCCCTCCCCAGCCCCCAGAGGCCGGTTAACCCCGGCTGGAGCGCCTGAAAGTGGCCCCACGGCCCGTCTCCCACCCATCGCCCCCTGCGCGCCCCGGGCCGGTTCTTGGCCCCGGGTTTCCTGCATGCATGCCGGAGAAGCGGCGATTTGCAAAGGAAAGTTTTCGGGCGCTGGAGATGGACAGGTAGACGAGGCCTGCTGGGTAGCCCGGTGCAGGCGTGGGTGCCTGGAGCGAGACGTGCCTGCCTCCAGGGAGCTGACTCCTTTCTTCTCTGCAGTTGTCACTCGGGGCCGGCCGAGCAAGCGGTGGTGGCTAGGGTCCTAAATGGGCCGCCCACCTGATCGCTGTCTCTGGAGCTTTTTAAAGGGGGGGGGGGGGTTAAAAAATTGCAGGAATTTGGTTCTTAACGACTTGTTATGGAAAGTGCAGAAGCCCCCAGACGTCAGAAGCTGGAATGTTTGCAGCTAGGAGGCACTTAGCCATCTGCAGCTGGCGGCCCTGCTCCGGGGAGCTCGGGGTTTGGGCGAGCACTGTCCCTTTCCCAGGCCTCAGTTTTCTCATCTGTAAAATGACGTGGTGAGAGCTGGATCGTCTCACATCCCCTCCATCTGTGACGTCTGAGCAGCGCCTGCACCCTCGCCCCCCCCCCCCCGGCACCCTTGGGTGACTGGCAGATACTGCGCGTCAATTTTGGTGAAAGGTGCATGAGAGACCAGCTCGCCCAGAGGCAGGGGGTTTTACTTGCCCGGTGACACAGGCATGCATACCTGTAGAACTGTCTAGACTAAAAGGCAAGACGCTCTAAAGGGTGCATTTCAAAGTATGGAGGAAGACCGGGAGCTTTGGAGTGTGTGGCTCGTACTGAGGGTGGCATGGAGATCTGAGTTTTTAATGGACTCAGAAGGAGCCCTGTGGCATGCAAAAAAAAAAAAAAAAAAACCTTCTGACACAGATATGAATTCTATGGTTTATGCAATCACAAAGCTTTGCTCTTGGCTGCTTTCTTACACTGAAAAAACAGAATGTTCCACCGTCTCTGATTTGACTGCAAACTCTTAAAAACTGAGTTATATTTTGCTAATAACTTCTAAAACACCGTTAATTTTCTGTCTGCATTAAAAAAAAAAATCCTCGTTGAAACGTTGGTTCAGATGACAAAGATTAGCAGGCCCTGATTTTGTTAGTTAACTTTTGTTTACGAGGATAAGATTTATGATTTGCAAATTCCAGACTCAATAGTTCCGTGAGTCAGTTTCATTTCATCTATACACACACTTTTAAACAATTAGTTTAAACGCCTGCTGGCTTTTTATTTGGGTTTTTGAACAGTTGTGCAGAGCCTAGAGATACCATATGGTGATAGAATTGAACTTTCAAAATGGTTGCATGAAGGAATCATTCTGAATTTTACTCATTTGGTCAAATTAAATTTTTCAAAGATGGTTGAGGTCTGGAGACAGCTCTAGAGTGAAGATGAGCAACTTAATTCCACTTGTATTTTAATTTTCCACTGAATAGTTTCAAGACTGTTCTAACGTAATCAAAAAACCGTGAGAACATTTACAAAATATCTTAATGTAAGACAAAATATAAGAGTTGGTTTACAGCCACCTATTAGGTCACTTCAAAAAGCTACCTTTGTTTCATAGATGTGGGCACAGAATTTCAGTATAGAACAAATTTTGCTGAAAACTTTGTAGGAAATATTGTTTGACTTAGTAGATTCACCACTCTTCCTAAATGCTCAAAATGAAGAAATCACTCTTTAGGGGAAAGCTTTGAGTGTCTGACGACTCATAGATCTGAAAAACAGGACTTTAACTTTTCAGAGATTCGTGGTGTGGACTTGGTTATGGTAAAAGCGTCGCTGGGGTGCATATTCCTAGAGCCACTTGAATGGCGCGCTGAATTCGTCAGGGCCAGAGACTAGAATCATCAGGCCCAGAATCTGATGTTTGGTCTACTTGCTCTTTTCCCCATAAGGCACACTTGCACCTCTGCACCACTTCCTCTAATGACATCTGATTTTCACCGCGTTACGGTTTATACAAAATACGAGCCCCATTTTGGATTCCTTGCCTTCCGCTGGGCTCAGCGTCCCTGTAGTCAACTTGACCTGCTACATGGTTTGCATTTTGCTTCGTTGTTTTTGAATTTCTTCGAATTTAGCTGTCATGATTTTTTTCCCATCAGTCATGCGGCCTCGTGGATGCTTTTTCTTCCTTCCCAACGATGTGTATTTGTTGAGTATCACTCTGCCACGCAGATTGGGCGGACCTGCCAGCACCATCCCAAACCAACAGGACAGAACCTATCTTGGCCCTCACTGAGTTAACCAGGGCTGTGTGTTGCAGGCTGAGAGAAGTATTCATAGTTTAATGCAGTGTGCTTGGAAGCGTTATTGGCTGCCGATGTTTTTTTTGCTTGACCTCATTTCTCAGTTGATTTCACAGGGAGGGTGTGTGTGTTGAATATTCCTTCTCCGTGTCTCTGGATGTTTATTTGGATTGATTTATTCTCACTTTTCTATCCCTGCCTTATTACAGACCCTGCTTAGACGGGCTTTTAGTTCCCTTTTCCATTCCAGGGCCAGCAGGGTGGAGGCAGTGTGTCCATGCTAAGCCTCTTCTTGGAAGATGGGCTGGGAGTAGAATGTAGGGCGCAAGCTTTAGGAGCAGACCATCCTGGGGCCCCAAGCTGCCTCCCGTTTACTAGTCCTCAGTGCTCTCATCTGTAAAATGGGCATGATGAATGTAGCTGCTGTTGGGAATTCCTCCATTGGGCCTCACAAGGGGGCCTCCGTGACCTGGCTGTCACCTGACTCAGCTCCACATCCCACCAAGGCCCACACTTTCCTGGTTAGCCCCCTGTGCCCAGCCCCCTGTTCCCTGCCCCCTGCATGTGTGTCTTGTGAAGAAGGTGGGTTGCCGTCTTTGTTCAAGCCTTTAGCTGCTACCTGGCTGGAGCTCCCACCGCCTGGCTCCTTTTCATTTTGCTTTTAAGGCAATTCTAGTGTTGTCTACTCAAGGACACTTGCTGTGACTCTCCCAGGTAGGACTAAGGGCTACTTCCTTCGCTGATGACAGGGGCAAACTGAAATAACAAGAGATTTCTTTAGAAAGTTTGTGCAAAAATGGAATTTAAAAGTGAGTTGACTTTGGTGCAAACATTTTTTGAATTCCATGCAGCTTTTTTGTAATACGCATTTTCATGAACTTTTTGAAGACCCCTGGTGTCTTTGTGGGATGCCCTGCACTTTAGACCTTGAAACCTTCAGAGGCAAGAGGTCCCTCTATTCCATTCTCTGTCTTCAGGGTCTCCCACCTTGTCTGGTGCCTCAGTTTGCACCCCGGAAATGCTGAGTTATACCTCCACGTCTTCCTGTGGACAAAGTGTAACAGGCCAGGCTTTTAGAAACCACGAAGTCCTTAGCAACTGGGGGTTTGGTCTTGGTGATGAAAATCTTCACTTTCAGTTCAAATCGTTTTGGTCCCGATCAAAATGTGCAGCTTGGCCATTTTTATATTATGTAATTGGTTCCTCTATTCCCATGAAATTCGGAAAAAAATAAAGTTTCAACTTGTGACAAACATCGTGCAAAGTTGCCAGAAGTTTTCCCCCGCCTCCTTTAGCTCTAATTTTAAACGAGTCTAGGCCATTCAAAACCATTGTCAAACTTTTAAGAAGTTTTCACCGCAGGAATCATCCAGTAAATACTGAACTCTCTCTTGTTTCTTCTAGAAAGTTGTCGAAAAGAGATTTCATTTAAAAAATGAAGTGCTGACATCTAAATTTAGGCTTTAAGCATTTTTTTTAATCCAGTTTTCTGTTTGGGCTTCTAAGCAGTGAAGCAGAGTTGGTCAAAGGAAGTGTGGCCTTGTAGCAGCCACTGCCTACCATAGAGCACCCTGGGTATGATTTAGGCCTGCTGCAAACCAACAAAACAGTTTAAAGCAAGGTGCAAGGGAAAGACACTTCCGGGCTGCCGTGGGCCTGAAGGAGCCACGTTCCACGTGAAAGCGGAACCCCAGCACTGGCGCTCCAGCTCTTTCCGCGTGGTTTCAGCAGAGGTGACTTGTGACGCTGAGTGGCAGCGTCCCAGCAGGTGTGCCGAGCAGAGCAGCAGGGATGCTTCCCACCGCTCTCCCCTCCCTCCGTTCCTGGTAACGTCGCTCCCAAGTACTTGTTGCTTCCAACAGAGGCAAGAGAAGGATTACTCCACCCCTTTGCCTGGCACCTGCATCAGGAGGGTTGAGAATGCTACATGCTCCCTCCGATTGGCTCATCTCGGGGAGATGTCGGGGAGAGAGGAGGGAGGGTGAGCCAACGTTTGAGAAACTCTCTCCAGCCAGCCACTGGGCCTGGCTAACTGTTATAATTTTAAGCAGAAGTTTGCAAGATAGACTTTATTGTCTGTTTTGGAAGTGGGAAGATGGCCCCTTGAGATTTGTGTGTGTGTGTGTTGGGGGGGTGTTTTGGGCTTGTCTCGCGTTCTGCTTGCCTCTTTTTCATGGTCTGTGTGTGTGTTGGAAGGGACGCGAGGGAGGGGCAGAAATACTGTATTTGAGAGAGAGGAAATTTGCCATTTAGCATCGTGAGTTCAGTGCCCCTGATTGAACTGATCGGCTTTGCTTACGTGATCTGCCTCTTCCTGACATCCTTG